CCCCGGGCCGCGGCTCTGCCCCGGGCCGGACCGTGTCCCCGAGGGGCGCCGACGCCTCCTCTAAAAATGCATCCTCCGCGTTTTACCTTGCGCCAGCAGCCTTCCAGATGCTGCGGGACTACGAGGACCGGCGGCCCCGGGCAGGGCGGCTCTTGGTGAGGGACGATGGGAGCTGTAGTTCGCAACTTTGCGGGGACCGTTCTCAGCCTCCGCTCGGGCGGTTCAGCCGGTGCCCCGGGCAGGGCGAGCTGGGCTCGTGAACATACCGGGCGAAGGAATGCGGTACAAGAAACTACACAACGCAAAACAATACAGGGTGCCCTGCCAGATGTTTCGGGCGACCAACTCCATAGTCCCTCGCCCTTAGCAGTGGCCGATGGCGGTCTGAGTCCTAAACAGGTCGCACTCTCGCTGAACGGGTCCGTCTGAGCGCCCCAGGGCAGCCGAGCCGTACTATACAGTACAATAAACCGCTGTCAACTCACGGCAGCTTCTTCTCTTTGCGTGCGTGGGAGTAACGTGTGAGTGCGCGACACGGAGACCTGGTTTCTGCTCGTTTAGGGCCCGTGCAGGCCCGTGTATCCAGGATCAAGAGGCAGATAGACTCTACCTTGAGTGAAGCTCGACTACAGCAAGGTCAACCGCGTGTTTTCGACTTGCCGCGACCAGACCCCCCCCCTTTTTTTTAAACAGGCCTGTTGATCCTGTGTTGAACCCCAATTTCGGCTACATCTGGGCCTAAGAATCTGAACTGGGAGCACCGGCCGAACTTCGCCTAGGAAAAAGACACGTGTGTTCACTCGAAACGCAGTTTGCCTGTTGGTGGCCTAAAGAGAGGGGAACCCCGACCCCGTGGTTGGTCACTGATACGGTTTAGCGTGTTGTGGGACTTCAGGCAACTGTAGTTGGTCCAGCTCTTGGTGCAACGTGTGAACCCAGCCCGTCTGAGGAAGCCAGATCTCAAAAGTGGGGCAAAATGAATTCATGTGATTCAAACATATTCAGGGAGATGTTTTCTTTACCCCTTTGTCACCTCGCTAGGGTAATCTACCCATTTAAACAAACATCTTTTAATTGTCAATATTCTACCTTCATGTAAAATATCTCATTGACCTTAAATAATCTTAAAACAGCCAAATGCGCACCTCCTGCGCAACGTACATGAAAAGGCAGCTGGGGGTATTGCCCACCGCTTTCCAGCAGGCTTAGAGCGACCCTTCCAGCAAAGGCACGCAAAACATTCCTCCAGAAGCTCTTCTGCACTCCGGATCCAGAACCGGATTCCCGCTGGACCCCGGGCTCGCTTTCCGCCGCGACGCGGAGCCTCGTCCGCGCGCTGAACTCTGCAGCCGCGCTTCGCTCTTCGTTTCCTGCCGCACAATTTAAAAGGCGCAGCGGAGCTCCCTTTGCATTAAATGTCGGAAACGCGAATTTCAGAAAAGCCCAAAAGGAGCGCTGCCTTTGCCGTGACTCGGATTCGAACCGAGGTTGCTGCGGCCACAACGCAGAGTACTAACCACTATACGATCACGGCGAGCCACCCGGACGCTCGGGGAAAGGCCTGGCAACCACCTTCTTCATTGCTACAGTCCCTGACGTCATCTCTCCTTCGAATAGGGATTCACTGCCGCCTCCGCTAAGCAGGCTCGCTTCGCCACCGGCCCCTGCAGCAGGGAACGGCGATTTGCCTTCGGAGGGCAGACCTGCCGGGCGCCCGCGCTTTCTTGCAAGTTTAAACCATCCTTCTCTGATTCCTTCAGGATGGGGGGGGGGGGGGCTTAAGGGCTTCAAGTCTTTTGGGCTTGCATGCCCAGCTCTGGCAAAGCAAACGGACCAGGAATTGCAGATGTGCAAAGGTCCGGCCTTTTCCTATCTGGCGTCTGCAGATGGGCTGGAGGAGGACGCGCTTCCTTCCCCAGAGGGCGTGGGGGATAGGATGATAGCAGCCTACCTCACTGGGTTGTTGCTGGGGGGAAATGGGAGTATTCGGTATGTTCGCCACTTGAGTTATAGATAGGAAAAGGGCAGGATAAAAATATAATTTTTACACCTTTAACACCATCAAACAACAACAGCTGCCCGTCCCAGGTCCTTGGGAAGGACTCAATAGGTGGATAAAAATGCCAAATCCAGGCTAAACATCTGGCTGACTGTGTGACCAACCATAATTACTACTACTACTACTACTACTGGATAAAAATATAATTTTTACACCTTTAACACCATCAAACAACAACAGCTGCCCGTCCCAGGTCCTTGGGAAGGACTCAATAGGTGGATAAAAATGCCAAATCCAGGCTAAACATCTGGCTGACTGTGTGACCAACCATAATTACTACTACTACTACTACTACTACTACTACTACTACTTGAAGACCATCGGCACTGACAAAATCACCATCAGTCAATAGCAAAAGGCAGCTGTACTTGGAACAGCTTATATCCTGCAATGATACTTTTAATATTATTAAACAACATCTGCCTGTCCCAAGTCCTTGGGAAGGACTCGATAGGTGGACAAAAATGCCAAATCCAGTCTAAACATCTGGCTGACTGTGTGGATTGCGTGACCAGCCATAATGACTGTAGCCCAGTGCTTAGAATAACAACAATTGTAGGGAACTCTGGTGGCTGCAGGCACTGTTGGCTTCCATAGTCCAGATCTTGCAACTTTCTTCCTCTCCTTGGAGAAGTAAAAAAAAGGTTGGACTGCTATCAATTCTGCTCCTTTTGGCTTGGGAGAATGGGGTGGAGGAAACTAAATGGTGAATTTTTTGGACAATAGACCTACAGAGGCTGGCAATGAGTTTTTGACAGTACCACATAGTATTTCAGCGCCATTTATGGGCAAAGGTGGATAGGCCTCCTGCCCTTCTATCTTTCCATCTCTATAATTATTTTCCCCACCCTTAAGAATTGTGCTTGCTTGGGTTTGTATTTGCAATGCAATGCTAAAGTTCAAGGCACTTTGCTGAGGGATGAAACTATACAGTACATTCCCAGTCTCTTAGTTGTCACTTATGATACCCATGACAGCTTTAGAGGAAGCCACAGTCTTAGATAAGGCCATAATGAGAAGAATCTATCTGTACTTCCATATCAGAAATGAATATTTCGTTCCTGCAACCTTCCCCTTGGTGGGCTCTCTGTTGCAGATAGCTTTTGCATCTATCGACGGCAGTGTTTCTCAACCTTGACAATTTTAAGACGGGTTATGTTATAATATATAACAAAGCGGAATTAAGGTTTAAGAATGAACTGTTGGATGATTTCACTCAGATGCTGAACCCAAGTGAACAAAACACCATTTCTTATGTACACATCACACACTATGCCCAAATCAATGGGGCAACAGGGCTTAATCAGCTAGTAAAACAATGGCTGGTTCCCCACAACACACTGAACTTCCCAACCCCACAGTAGCCCAAGCGAATGTGTTGTGACGACGTAGCCACTAACTACACCGGGCACGGCAGGAAGAGAGGGGGTTGACCTTCCTTCCGTCTATTGTGATGTCACGGGTGGTGAAGAGGTTTCTCCACAAAGAACTTTCAGATCCTCTGAAGTCCTTCTGACGGACATCAGTAGATGGCATCTCTTTCCCTTGAAAAAACTTTTATTCGGATTCACTCACGGCTGCCTCGTTTGAAAGATTACTAATTTTCCTCAAAAGAAAAATGCATGCCGTCTACCGAGCACAAGACCCGTGATG